GGCAGGGCAGGCAGTGGCAAGTGGGAGGTGTACACAGCAGTGTCCCTGAGCCCTGCCACTGGCTGGGATAAACCATGCAGACCTCAGACCTGCTTACAGTCTGACTGAGGCCAAGACTACTTCCCATGACGCTGACTCAAGCTCTGGGGTATTTTTATTGTGCGGTAAGGGGACAAGTCATCCTGGTGTTCTGTGTCCTTCACTTTGCCTCTCTGCAACAGGGCCTTATCATCTGTCATTTGGGTCTCCTGCCTCAGGCTGTACCTTCCTTCAAGCATAGACTGATGTSCTCTCCTAAAACCTTCAGTCCCAGGCATTGTTCAGAAAGTGCCATCCACACACATACCCACTCACACTTAGTTCTGTATTTGCTGTCGTAACAACTCTATTTTGTGGATAAAGAAACTGTATCCAACTGGATGCCACTTGGCTAGAACCTTCTGCCTCATGGAAACAAGCCTGGCCCATTCTCTCAAGGCCAGGTTGACCCACATGAACACTGGGAAGGCCAAAGCTCCAGGCTTCCAGGAAAGATCCCCAGAAGGCACAGCGGCTRGTAAGGCCCACTTGGGAGTGTGCTGGCAACTTCAGCTCTGGTCCCATTGACCCAGTTCAGCGACATCCTGGTGGTAGCAGTTCCAGCAGCAGGCCTCCAAGGCTCCAAGCAGCATGTGGGCTCTCAGCCAATGGGAGAGCTGGCTTCCTGCCCCTTGCTGTGCATCCTTTCCATCTGGAAGCTTATTCYCCTGTTTCCTGTTTTGGTATCTGGAACAGGCCTGAATGGCTGTTTTAAGAAGTTACTTTCCCCACTTCGGTATGGCTGGGACCTAGGCAGGAACCCAAAGGAGGCTGGCGGCTACTGGGACACCACTTTTAACCCTGGCCTGGGGGGGGGGCTGGGAGGATGCTGAGGTGGGCAAACTTTGGACCCCAACTCTATGGCTAACAAGGTTCGGGCATCTTTCACAAGCACTCAAGGTCTCCTTGAGCTAGAGATAAACACACAAATTAAAACTTGTGATGAACCATGATGTAACAGAAAGCTTATTTCAGATGGATGTTCCTTTTCTTTCCCCTCTGCTGTATCAACTCACAGAAGCTGCTAAGGCAGAATTTAAAGAAAATTGTTTTCAAGCCACCAGAGACCTGTTTGTACAACTCAAACGGTTGTATTTATTTAATGTACCTCAAGGTGTTTTAATAATGATCAGTGTTTTAATAAAAAGTATTTCTGGCCTCTGTGTGTCTGAGGTCTAATTGGGACAGAGACAGGATGAGGGCTATGTGCACCGTTGGCCAAGAGCAGGGTCCTGAGGGCTTGGGCTGGGCTCCCTGYCAGCTGCTGGGGAGTGGGAGGCACCCAGAGCTGCCCAGCTGTGCTTCCTAGGAGCCCCCTGGAGAGACTGAGCTGCAGGAGCTCAGGAGGAAAAGGTAGTCCCCTCCACCTGATGCACGCATGTCCCATCCACACTGACCCACACCTGCCGCTCCGTGGAGGCAACACCTGAGGGCTTCTGGGAGAATACAGGCCACAGCTCAAAGTTTTTCTTCTTTTTTTTTTTTTGACTGTGTATCATTTTGGCGGGAGTCATGCCCCCATGTCATCTGCTAGCCATAGCCTTCCTCCCTGGAGCCCATCACACGCCTTGTCCTGGGCACTGCAGGAATATTCCCTTGGGCTGCCTGAGCTGCGATCCCTCCCCTGCTTCTCCTCAGGTTATGACGGTTCTTTGCATTCCCCAAGATGGTGCTATCCCTGCTAGCATTTTTTTTTCTTGGCACAGAGCTTTCAACTCTTTGCCTCCCCTTTCTAACAGAGTTTCCTACTGAACATTTTTCTTTGACTCTACCATGCATCCTTTCTGAAAGAAGGCCTGGAGCTAGAGTTCACTTTGAAAGACTGTTCTTACATGCCCGGATGGCCAAGGAGGAGCTYAACGGAGTGCTTAGCTAGCATCCCTCAGGGGGCCTGGTAAGAAAAACCGCTTGTTCTCCCCCAGAACCCCAGGCCACAAAGGTGCTTGGTGAGTAGCTCCGATCAGCAGAGCATGCACTGCTGTGAGCAGGCCRGAGAGAAGGGGTCCTGTGTGCCAAGGTCCCCAGGCTAGTAGAGCTGGAGTCCCCTCCCTGGACTTTCTGACTAAAGCCCAAGTTCACTCCGTGGCCTCCCCATGCCAAGTGACACCAGGGCCATCCCACAGAGAAAAGAAGGTGACACAAGAACTGCCTGAGTCCCGTTAGTGCCCTAGACAACTGCAAAGGACCTCACAGGTATAAAGAGGGGGCTGGGAGTGGTGCTTCGACTCTGTATCATACCCATACACACGCGTGTGCGTGAACATATGTGTATACCTCTTCTGGAGGCAACTGATATTTAAATCCGAAGAAGCCCAAGTCTCCATCTCTTTCTTATTCAGTTAGTAGCTTGTGGCCATGTCTCTCACCTGGGACAGGTGGGTAGAGAACCCAGAGCAGCCTGGTGACCTGTGACGTGACTGCTGACACTTCCAGGTGCTGCAGGGTTTGGCCCCCACGAGATCTGGTGACCTTAGCATGCATCCTCTGACCTCATGGCCAAGAGCTCCCAAGACCCTAGACTGGGAAGGGATGCTGTCACCATATGGCAGACTTGCAGAGCCACTCACTAGAGAGTGAGAACCAGAGGCCAGTTGGACCTATGATGCTTAGTGAACACACCAGCCACACAAAGAGCTTCCATCATGACTTCAGGTTTATTAGTGAGATGCGCGAAGTCTTCCTAAGGTCAGCTGCATGCAACACACAGGTTACTCCTCAAATACAGTAATCCTAAAGCTTTAGTTACTGCGTGGTAAGGCTTCTTAAGTCACAGTGTATTCTTCAAGGCCTGGGCCAAAAAAAGAGACTTCCAGACAAAATTATGTCAGTTAACATTGATCTCTAATGAACCGAACCGGACGATGGGTTCCTTCATCTACACACGCTCTAATACTGCTCATGGCGGGGGCGTCTCGCTTGCCACGTAATCAGCGCTCATGGCTGGTTGCCTCAGGAAGGGCAGAGGTGGAGTTTTCTGGTGGGTTTGGATTGTTGGAGAGGAGCGTGTGTGGATGTGTTTGTGTCGATAGGTTTTAAACAGGGGGCAGACGCCTGTGCTGCTGTCCTTGTCCCTGGCAGGATGGTGAGAGTGTTCCCACCTGGCAGGGGGCCCTGCCGTGGAGAAGCGTTCAGGAGGGTGGGTGCCCAGGTAAGTTCACAGAGACTCAATGACTTGGAATGGGGGAGGGGGACAGGAGAAGCAGGTGTGGTCACCAGACATGGGAAACCCCTAAACTTCTGAAGAACAGCTTGCCCAAAGAAAAGTCCAAATGGTAACATTTTTCTAAATAAATATGGAGTTTTGATGTTATGACCATCATCCTTTATTGAACTCAGGAATATCTCCTTTCCTGGTAAATACTTACAATCGATCACATGTTCCCACACTTTTAGTGCAAGTCACATCCTGGGAGCCGGGCTGCCCACGCTCCTGTGGAAGCAGCAGCAGAGTCAGCTGTGCGGGCTCTTCGGGGCTCCAGTGGCACCCCCATCAACCCAGGGGGCGGGAGAGGGCTGCTTGCCCCCTTGCAGGCGCTGTGTCCCTCAGAGGCCTCCCTTCATGGCGGCATGAGTGGGTCCCCATGTTTGTGTTCTACAACTTCAGGGAAGAAAGACACACACTCTCTACGCCACACATGAACACCCCTGCCAGTCACAATGAGAAAAACAGTTCAGAATGTGGCAAAAGACTTGAATGTTTTACAAAGGTTTGTTCCTGCGACTCTCCTTTGATAAAAAAAAAAAAAAAA